TAAAAAAAAACAAAAAACAAACCAATCTTTTTATTTATCACCCCAACACATACTCAAGGTCTCCCTATCTCCCAGCACTACAAAGCCTTAGGTAACCACTATCTACTTTCTGTCTCTACAGATTTCCCTATTCAGGACTTTCATATTAATGAAATCATATATGTTCTATTGTGATGGCTTCTTTTACTTAGCATAATCTTTTTAAGGTCCATCTGTCTTATAGCAAGTATTAGAACTTTATTCCTTTATATAGCCAAATAGTATTTCATTGTATGGATATACCACATTTGCTTATCCAGTATCAGTTAATAGAGATTTAGGCTGTTTTCATCTTTTGGCTGTTATTAATAATAATGCTATAAACTTTCAGGCACAAGTTTCTATGTGGACACATGGTCTCATTTCTATTGGGTATATACTAATGGGTGGAATTGCTGGGTCACACTGTAACTCCAGGTTGAATCACTGAAAAGCGCCACACTGTTTCCAAAGCAACTGTACCCTTTTATATTCCCACCAGCAGGGTATAAGGATTCCATTGTCTTCACCTTGCCAACACTTAATGTTACCTGAGGTTTCTCATTGTAATTTTGATTTGCATTTTTGTGGATTAATGATGTTGAGCATCTTTCATGTGCTAATTGGCCATTTGTACATCTTCTCTGGAAAAATGTGTACTCAAATTACTGTCCCATTTTTATTGAGTTGTCTTATTATTGATTTGTAAGCATTCTTTATATATTGTAGATAAAAATTTCTAATCAGATATGACTTGCAAATATTTTCACCTACTCTGTGGGCTGCCTTTAACAATTTCTTGACGGTGTCCATTGAACATAAAAGTTTTTAATTTTGAGGTGCTTGGCTGGCTTAGTTGGTAGAGCATGCATTTCTTGATAGTTTTGGCTGCTACATTCAGGTTTCCGATCCATCCTGCATTAATTTTTGTACATGCTGTGGAGTAATGGTTCACCCTCATTCTTTTGCATGTGGCTATCTAGTTGTCCTATTCCATTTGTTGAAAAAGCCTATCGTTTTCTCATTGAATGGTCTTGGCACACTTGTCGAAATCAGTTGACCATAGATATATGGGTTTATTTCTGGACTCTCAATTCTATTTCATTGATCTATATGCCTATTCTTATGATAGTACTACACTGTCTTTTACCATTGTTTTCTAGAAAGTTTTGCAATTGAGAAGTATGAGCCCTCCTAGCTTATTCTTTTTTTAAAGGATTATTTTGGCTATTCTAAGTCTTCTGAAATTCCATAGCCATTTTAGAATCAGCTTGCAGATTTCTCCAAAAAAGTCAGCTGGGATTCTGATAGGGACTGTGTTGAATCTGCAGATCAGTTTGGAGACAATGGTCATATTAATTTTGAACCTTCTGATCCATGAACCTGGAAAGTTTTTCCATTCATTTAGATCTTTTAAAATTTCTTTCAACAGTGTAATGTAGTTTTCAGAGTATAAGTTGTACATTCTTCTTGTTAAAATTATTTTTAAGTATTTTATTCTTTTTGATGCTATTATGAATGCAATTGTTTTCTGCATTTCATCTTCAGATTGAAACACAAGTTTTTAATATTCACCTCCCCACTACAGAGTAAGGTGCCTGAAAGGAACCAGTGTCTCTCATTCATTTTAAAATTTCCACTATATATATAGTGGACTATAGCACTGTCAGTCACTCAAAAGCAGTGTAGAAGAAATGAATGAATGAATGAGATACAACACAGCTTCAACAATAAAATTTATAAGAAATGCGGATTTTCTCCACAGTTTGTTGACAGAGAAATATTTGGATTTAAGAAAGCTTGATGTGAGACGCACCAGTTGGGATAGTTTGTGACTGTTGATCTCAGGGTTGTGAGTTTGAGCCTCATGTTGGGGGTAGAGTTTACTTAAAAAAAGGAAATCTTGATGTGAAAAGTCAAACTTTTTTTCTGATTAAGATCTAATTTTTCTTTTGCTCAAAGTTTGCAATTATTAAAGAGGAATGCTAACTTGAACAGCAGGAAGTTGCTATGGTAACCCTTAGAAAGCTCAAAAGCACAAGTCACTGACAATGTATGGGGGTATGCTGTCAATCATACTCCTCTCTCTACTTGTGCAGGAAGGAATATGGTGCTTTACAAACTTAATAGCCCTTAAACAATGTCTCAGCTTTAACCCTTATACATAGGTTTAGATACAGCATCTTAAAATGGCATTCCTTTATCTCCTTGGTGAACTCAAAATTTCAATTATATCTTATATTTCTGTTAATTTAATTAATGTTTATTAATTTAATTTAAATGGCATTTCTTTATCTCCTTGGTGAACTTCAAATTTCAATTCTATCTTTTATTTCTGTTAATTTGATTTAATTTCTGTCAGTGTTTATTCCTGTTAGTTTAATCAAATGTAAAGTTTGCATAGATCCATGAAATCTCACCAAGGATAGTCTTTGTTTCTGTGATTTGCTTGAACAGGTCATTTCACTTGGGATACTACTTTACTCAGCCGAAGGCAGGAGCCTAGCTCAGATGAGCCCCACGTCCTTTCTAACTCCAAGATAAAAGATATGAGAGCTACTAGCTTTGAGAGAATGAGTTCCAGAATAAAAACGTGCTACGTATTCTAGTATGAGGTGCTGGAACCCAGTTTTCTGGGTTCAAACCATGGTTTCTCAGGTATTAAACATTGATCTAGTTTCTTAACTTCTCTGTATCTCAGTTTCCTTACATGTAAAATGTAGATTACAACAGTAGTTATGTAAGGATTTTATAAGAACTTTAAGATCTTGACTTTAAGTATTTTGTATTTGTTAGTGCTATCATTATTATTATTGAGACTTCCTAGAGAAGTAAAGGAAAACAAAGCTCAACATTATTCTGCTACGAAAGTCATTCTATATCAAAGTGTTAATTTAGTGTATGTACATTAGAAAAGATGATTTCAGTGATTTAGCTTATTTTGACTTTCAGATTCATTCACTGCAGGTGATTTTTTTTTAGTTTTATTATTTCTAGTATTGTGTTTGTTATAGAAATATATTTAATAATAAATACTGTGGAAAAATATACAATGTAATTGTACTCTCTATTACATATAAAATAACAACAATGATGAAAATTGTCCCAAACTTGCTTCTTGAATACTCTTTTTATAAAAAAAAAAAATTAAGTTTTATTTATTTAACAAATCTCTATATCCAGTGTGGGGCCTGAACTCATGACCGTGAGATCAAGAGTTGCATGCTCTTCTGACTGACCCAGCCAGGTGCCCCAGCCTCTTGAACACTCTTAAGAAAAGGACTTTTTGAGCTGATGAGGCAAATCTTGCAAAAATCCCTCTTTTTCTGTCTGGGGAGATGGACCTTTTTCCCTAAGAGTGTTGTTTCAGGAGGTTTACACATAGAAACAGCAAGGGAAGAAAAGGACATGTCCTATTTAGATCAGTGTTTGTCTTTTCTTTTCCTTTTACATTTTTTTAGTGTTAATTTATTTTGAGAGAGAGAGAGTGCAAACAAGCAGGGGAGGGGCAGAGAGAAGGGGAGACAGAATCCCAAGCAGGCTCCCGGCTGTCAGCACAGAGCCCAACATGCGGCTCAAACTCACGAACTGCGAGATCACAACCCGAGCTGAAATCAAGAGTTGGAGGCTTAACTGACTGAGTCACCCAGGTGCCCCTTTTCTTTTTTTCCTCAAAATTTTGAATGTGGCAAAATATATATAACATAGAATTTACCATTTTAACCATTTTTAAATGTATAATTCCGTGTTATTAAGTACATTCATGATGTTGTGCCACTACCACCAACAACCATTTTCAGAAACTTTGTACCTATTAAGTAACTTGCCATTCCCTCTCCCTCAGCCCAGGGCAGCCACCATACTACCTTCCGTTTCTATGATTTTTACTACTTTAAGTACTTCGTATAAATGGAATCACAGTATTTGTCTTTTTGTGACTGACTTATTTCACTTAGGATAATGTCCTCAGATTCATCAGTGTTGCAGCATATGTTAGAATGTCCTTCCTTTTCTTTTTTTTATTAAAAATTTTTAGGGGCGCCTGGGTGGCGCAGTCGGTTAAGCGTCCGACTTCAGCCAGGTCATGATCTCGCGTTCCGTGAGTTCGAGCCCCGCGTCAGGCTCTGGGCTGATGGCTCAGAGCCTGGAGCCTGTTTCCGATTCTGTGTCTCCCTCTCTCTCTGCCCCTCCCACGTTCATGCTCTGTCTCTCTCTGTCCCAAAAATAAATAAACGTTGAAAAAAAATTAAAAAAAAAATTTTAACATTTTTATTCATTTTTTGACAGAGACAGAGCACGAGCTGAGGGAGGGCAGAGAGAGAGAGAGAGAGAGAGACAGACAGACAGACAGACAGACAGACAGAATCTGAAGCAGTCTCGAGGCTCTGAGCTGTCAGCACAGAGCCCGATGCGGGGCTTGAACCCATGCCTGAGCTGAAGTCAGCCACTTAACTGACTGAGCCAACGAGGCACCTCATAATTTCCTTCATTTTCAAGGCTGAGTAATATTCCATTGCAATATAGGCCATATCTTATCAAGTTCATCTGTTAATGAATACTCAGATTGGTTCCACATTTTAGCTATTGTAAATAATGCTGCTATGAATATGGGTGTGCAAATATTTCTTCAAGATCTATATCCACATTTTAGATCTTTATGATTAATCTAATGATTAATGAAAAGATATCAGTAAAAAATCAACCACATAACACAATGTATTATGCATTTACAAGAAATCAAAGAAAAAAAATAATATTATTAAAGATAGACTTACCATATACTCACTGTGTATTAAAACTACAAATACACAACAATTTAACAATCTAAAGTAAAGGACATTTTGCTCTCTGGCATTCCTGAAATCTGTTCTACTTAAATGGCATATGAAAATAATTTATCAGACTCAGACTCTGAGTGTTTATATATTGCTCTTCATTATGTAGCACTAATTAGGGGAAAGGAGTTTTGGAAAGATTCTTACCTGGATGAGATGTGTTGGCATTGTGATCATACAAGCTGAAAGAGAGGTTCGCAGAAGACCACGGAGGACATACAGGAACTTCGTAAGGCTGTGACTGTTGCCATTTTCCATACAGCAGATGTCATCCCCCCACAAAGGTGAACCAAGATTCTGGATTCCTATTCTTAAAATGTTTTTCTGTTTTTTCTAAAGAAATGCGTGTGTCGGGTTGGGGGGGAGACAAACACATTAAGTTTTATTAACAAATAGGATACCTCCTTTAGTTCTTTTTGCCAGTTTTTGAAATTTATAACATAGCAGGGAGATAGTAGAGATGGTAAAAAGCTTTATGTATAGTTAATATACGGCAATATAAAGGAAATCATCTATATTGCAAGAGTATTAAAAAATAGCTGTTTTTTTCTCACTTTTGGAAAATTTGAAGAGTATCAAAAGCCTCAAGTTTCTAAATTTTAAGTGACCACTTTACGAATTATGTTTGCGACAGCTGAAATAATACATAAAAAAATCAGTTAGCAATAAAGAACATCTAAACTAGAATACTTAGAAACCATTCTTAGTATTATAAAATTCTACAAGTCTTTCAATAAACTATAACTTGCTCAGTATTTTTCATTTAGTGCTATTATGTCCAATGCCTGATATTTTGTTTGAAAGAAGTTTAAAAATGTGTGTTTTGCTTTTATACCTTATATCTGCTTTTACTTATTCTTCTTGAAGCTATTTTTACAAAATAATTCAGTTCAATACTTATCAAAATTGAACAAATGAACATTTGGAACTCAAGACTACTGATATCAAGGTCATAATGATGACTGATATTTCTTGGGAAAAGAGCATTTAAAAACCATTAAACAAAACCTACACTGATTATCAATAAGCATTTGCCAGAGATGTATTTATAACAAATTCTACTGTTTGTGTTATCCTAACCAAACAAATGTTTTATAAATGCTTTCTTTATTTTGTATTTAAAAAAATTTTTTTTTTATTTTTTTAAATGTTTTATTTGTTTTTTGAAAGAGAGAGACAGAGCACGAGTGGGGGAGGGGCAGAGAGAGAGGGAGACACAGAATCCAAAGCAGGCTCCAAGCTCTGAGCTGTCAGCACAGAGCCCAATGAGGGCTGAAACTCATAAGCCAAGCCATGAGATCATGACCTCAGCCCAAGTTGGAACCTCAACCAACTGAGCCACCCAGGCACCCCTATAAATGCTTTCTTTAGCAATCTGGCAAAATTTCTGGGCAGAGGAAGGAGACATTAGCAAAACCTGGTGCATGGAGATAATTGGAAACTTATCATTACAATTCTAATGGGGAAAATACATTTTCTCCCTTAAATAAAAAATTTGGAACATGTGTCATTTGAGTGTGTTTTTTTTTTTTTTTAATTTTTTTTCAACGTTTATTTATTTTTGGGACAGAGAGAGACAGAGCATGAACGGGGGAGGGTCAGAGAGAGAGGGAGACACAGAATCGGAAACAGGCTCCAGGCTCTGAGCCATCAGCCCAGAGCCTGACGCGGGGCTCGAACTCACGGACCGCGAGATCATGACCTGGCTGAAGTTGGACGCTTAACCGACTGCGCCACCCAGGCGCCCCTTGAGTGTGTTTTTTGATGCAGTCAGATCCTACAACATATTGCTTGTTATTGTTATAACAAATGAATAAAATTTATTTAACTAATAAAATGTATTAATCAACTACTATCTCTCTGATATTACACATGAAAGTTGAGTTTGTGTATTTTTGAGAATTTATTAACAAAGGAAAGTAGGGAAATGAATAAAACACTGAAAAGTTAGAAGAGGAAAAACAGAAGGGGACAGTAATCAGTAAGATGGGTAAGATAGATTCACAGTCTGGACTGTGCAACTAAGAAGATGTGATTCTGAGCAAGACACAACACTACTTAGGCATTAGTTCTCTCATCTCTACAATAAAAAATTGTTCTACAAGATCACACAATCCTTTAAAATATATAAAGGGACATGATATATAAAGGGCCTGGATAAAGCTATTAAAATGTGATTACAGAAAAAGGAATTTAGTTTAAGCACATTTGAAAAATTCTTCCTGACTCCAAAGACCTGAAACGTGATGATACTATCAAGGCAGCTAGTCCAGTTTTCTTTTCTGGTTGTATTAAGGTTATGATAGGCAACCCTTAAGACATATATTAACATCATTGGCAGTCCATAAAAATTGTTTTCTTTTTTTATTTCTGCATTACTTGAATGAAATGAAGTAATAATATGTACCAGGGCATGTATGTATTAGAAATCTAAATGCATTTTGATGAATTTGTGTAAGATATCTCTGAAATTATAGGTTATCCCTTTTACGTATTACTTAGAAACTCAGAATTTAAGTAAAATGGCAAGATTAAGCTTCATTTTGTCATCCCAAACTTGTTTTCTCTTGAACTGTAGCTTAAATTAGATTTGCAACAGAAAGAACAATCTAGAAAAATGGAGAGACAAACCTGCCCCCAAAATCTAGGTATTAAAACAAAATCTGAAGGTAGAAGGAGAGCAGCATTATACGGTTTTCCCTACCAATATTTCAGAAACTAAAGGTCAGCTGTATTTTAACCCAGTCACCATTACCAACTATTGTATCAAAAAGCATCTGCTAAAAGTTTATAACAAAAATGATGATAGGTGCAGAAGCAGGAGAACTGTAGAAGTTTAGTGACTATGACAGATATAATGATACACATACACACATACATATATACCTGTATATACATGTATATATACACATACACACACACACACACACACACACACACATATATGTGTGTGTGTGTGTGTGTGTATAAAGAATGACAATATTAAGCCAAAGAATGAAAAAGATATTTAAGTGAGGTAGGTACTCACCACATCAGAACATATTTGAGCATGATACTTCAACATAGGGAATACATTTATATATTTAAACAAATTTTTTTAATGTTTATTTTTGATAGAGAGATAGAGACAGAGTGTCAGGGAGGGGCAGAGAGAGAGGGAGACACAGAATCCAAAGCAGGCTCCAGGCTCTAAGCTGTCAGCACAAAACCTGACGCAGGGCTCGAACTCCCGAACCACAAGATCATGACCTGAGCTGAAGTTGGGCATTTAACCAACTGAGCCACCTAGGTGACTTGGGAATACATTTATATTTTTAAAAATATAATAGTAAGTGCAAAAGCAAAGGCTGATTTACAAATTTCCTGTGTAATTTCAGGCATAGAATTCCTTTGCTATGCCATATAATAATGGGGCACACTGTGAGGCATAATCAAAAAATTTTTAATATAATTTATTGAGGTCTAATAAACTTTTGTTGAAAGCTGAATAATAAATATTAAATTCATTCCAATGAGAACATCTAAAATATTTAATCTGGATATCTAAGTGAAATCAATTTTCAAACTTCATTTTTATTGTATATTTCTTAGATATTTAAAAATCATAACTTAAATGAAATTATGACAGCAATTTGTAAACATCTCCACTCCAAATATCTTTGCAGATGAGCTACTTTACTTACTACAAAGTTATTATACAGTATTCTATAATACTCAATTCCTTATAGCCTATCTCAAATTAAGTTAGTTTATTTGAAAATGTAAGTTTATTTGAAAATGTAGTGATACAGAAAGTAAGATGAAAATTTCCTTTTAAAAAGAATTTATTTCAGTATCAGAACATTATTTTGACTCAGGAATAAGATTTTTTGAAGCAGTGCTCGATAGATGAATTTTTGTGGCTTCTTGAACTCATCTAAAGTTTCTGAGACAGAAATATAGTTGAGGTAATTTAGCAAATGATATACTCTAAAATGTAACAATATGGAAATTTAGTAGATATATTTTAATTCCAATAAAATTGGAAATATATTTTATAACTTATCGGTATGTTGTAAACTTTTTCAGCGTTCTTGGTATTCAGCATATAAATGCTTACCTCAACCCTTTTAACCTTTATAAAAGTCAATAGTTGTAGAACTTCTGGTTCAGAGACAAACCAGTTCAGTTTATCAGCTTTCATCAAATAAAATACTATTTATTGAAAATGGTGGTATTTTTAATACTCAAATAAACAACTAAGAAAACAAACATTTCATTCCATTCCAATAATAGCTTACTTATCAAGGGTCCTTTGGATGGATGGGTGTGTGTACATATATATAAATATGTGTACATATGTATATATACATATACAAGGAAGTATGTGTGTATCTTTGTTATTGCCTTTGATTTTTTGTATTTTATAAAATTTCTTGCTCTTAGAAGATGTGTCATCATCCTGCAAGAACAGGAGCTCTGCACACTGTATCATAGGAACTGTTATGACATGTCTGTTTCCATAGTAACCACAGCACATAGGGAGGGAGAGGTGTCTGTCAGGGACCAATTTACCTCTCCAGACGGACAATGCCACCAAAGGGAGGACATAGTGCCCATAAATCTTAGCTAGGACCAAAAACGGAGCAACAATGAACAAAATGAAACTGTATTAAAAACCAAGGACCATCACAAAAACTGTAACACACGTGAAAAGCTATCTATAAATAAATGTATATACTTCACCACACGTATGGTATTTTCAACTTTGTATTAAACTGATGATCAAAACAAATTTAAAATTTATTAACATTGCTGTGGAAAAAACATTAAATATAGCAGTAAAGTTTATAAGAATACTTAAAAATTTATGGATTAAGAGCAAATGTAGTTGATAATGCCAAAAATAAGACTTTTGGATTCTTTACTTTCTTCAATAAAAATAATGGTGCTCTGGAAATAATTCTGCTGAAATAATATACATGAACTGAAAATCTTTAGCAGCTTTAGCAATTAAAATCACCGAGAAAGATTTCTAAATGGCATTATAACTGGAAATAAAATTTCTCTCATTTTGTTCAAGTTAAACTAACCAGAACATCTTTAATAGTGGGAATTTGGAATCTTTAATAGTGGGAATTTAAAAACTTGCATTCTTAAAAACAGAGCTACAGAGAAATAATTAAGTTATAAAATATTTTAATATAGCAAATAAAAAATGCAGTTTTTATTCAGTGAAATAACCTAAAGCATGATATAACAAGAAATAAAATCTTAAAATAATTAATTCTTACTCACCAGGTTATTCAATTAAGGACTGAATGACAGAAATATAAAAAATTTTGATAAGAGGGGCATCTGGGTGACTCAGTTAGTTAAGCATCTGACTTTTGGTTTCAGCTCAGGTCATGATCTCGTGGCGCATGGGATTGAGTCCTGTGTTGGGCTCTGTACTGACAGCATAGAACATACTTGGGACTCTCTCTCTCCTTCTTCTCTGCCCCTCCCCTGCTCACTCTCCCCCCTCTCTCTCTCTTTCTCAAACTAAATTAACTTAAAAAAAATTTAGATACAAAAGTACACGTCTTGCAGATTTAGGAGTAATTTTCAAAATGCAGCAGTTTAGTTATTCCAGGTGCCACAAATATATATTTAAAAATAATTTATGTTGACAATGTATGTATATGTCTTTTGTGCACCCACTGAGAACTTAGCTAAAACTCTACACATCAAAAATCAAACAGAGGCTGCCTGTGCCTTGCTTATTTACATGTTCTGTGCTTGGAAACAGCTTGTTCACTGTTAATTATTCTAAAACCTTCTGGGTTACCCCTAGAGAGTTTAAAAACAACATTACATAGATGATTATAAAAAACTTTGAAGGTACTCAATACCTGGGGATTGGATCCATCAAATCCTTCCTCATATATGATGTTCTGGATAAACTGAAGCAGCTTTATGTAGCCATGAGTCAAAGAACTGTTGGTAAGAAGTGGTTCAAATATAGAAATGGACATATTACACATACAATTCAAAATCTAAGCTACAACATGGAGGAAGTAATTAAAATTTATGAGACTACTAAAATATAATATAAAATTAACCCAAATAGTATAAATAATTTAAAAATATAAAGTCAGTACATCCAGGGAATACGTTACAATGCCTTATATTAACTAGCTCAGTGTTCTTGACATCATGGGAAAATAAAAATCTGTGGAGACTGAGATGTCTTAATTATGTCAAGCTTAGTTACCTCCAAGAAAATTAATGATTTAATGAAGCAACCTAAAAGATGAAGCCACTATAGCTTTTCAGGAGTAATCATGGGTAATTAACACATAGTTAATGAACTGCTATGCCAAGTACACCTGAATCAATGTCCTGATCACCTGAGCTCATCTTCCAGAAAAGTTTTAATTTTCTTAGAACTGCTAAAATAATAGTAATTTAAAAATTTGATCTTTTAAGACATATGAACATGAATATAATTTCTACTTTGTAAAATGAAATCAATAAAATAAATGTATAAATTTAAGAAGACATTATCTTTCACATGAATGTTAGCATTAATGTTACTGTTTTAAAATATTTTAGAAAAATGGGGAGCCTGGTAGGCTTAGTTGGTACAGCATAAGACTCATGATCTTGGGGTTGCGTGTTCAAACCTCACGTTAGGCACAGAGCTTACTTAAAACTTTTTTTTACAAACGTTATAAAACACCTCAAAGAAAATATAGTTACAATGAAGAAAATCTGGTTTAACATTGTCTGAATTTAATATTCTTGATAACGGACAACCTGTGTGCTATGGCTGAACATTAAAAGTCATGATAATGAGGATCTGGAACATAGCTATTTCATAGACATTTCAGTAACTAATGCTGTAAAAGCTGTGGGTGACCTTAAAAATACAAAAGTATTTGCTCTACTATGATCCTAAGTAAAGCAATCACATATGCAGAATAAATGACCTAAAGAAAAAATGAAATATAATTTGAAGCACACATGCAACAATAAAGAACATAAGAAGTTAGGAAAAGTAGCAGATTACTTAGTGTGCAAAATCAATGGTAGGTTGTTCAATAAAAATATATGCACATCTCTGCAAATATTTTATTGAACAGCAACATCTAGCCCCAAAGCAACTAACAAGAAAGAAAGAAAGAAAGAAAGAAAGAAAGAAAGAAAGAAAGAAAAGAAAAGAAAAGAAAAGAAAAGAAAAGAAAAGAAAAGAAAAGAAAAGAAAGAAAGAAAACCAAGAGAAAAGAATGCTGTTATATGCAGGTCGCCTGGGTGGCTCAGTTGGTAAAGTGTCTGACTTTGGCTCAGGGCATGATCTTGCAGTTCATGAGCGTGAGCCACATCGGTCTCTGCGCTGACGGCTCAGAGGCTGGAGTTTGTTTCAGATTCTGTTTCCGTCTTTCTCTGCCCTCCCCCCTCACACTGTCTCTCTCTCTCAAATATAAATAAACATTAAAAAAGATTATTAGAAAAAAAAGAATGCTGTTATATGCAAAACAAATATGGCTCCAGTTGAAGGCTTTGGCAGTATGGTTATTTCTCATATATCTCCATTTTGGATGAAGATACATTGGATCACATGGTCACATTTTTCCAGTTTCATGAGTCTATAAATGTGTCTATGAAAAATGAAATTCCATAAAGACAGTGATGCAACTATTTCATAAATATATGGATATTTATATATATATAAATACATAAATATATATGAATAAATAAGTAACATATTTGTCCTGGGTAGCTCAACTTTCAGAATATAGTGCTGCTGTTTGAATTCCTGCATATTCAATTCCTATCTGGGTCAATTAGATTTGCACAAGGGGTAAACTCTGTTCCAAGGTCCCAGATTATGAAATGAATTTCAGCCAACCATTTGATGAATGTCAGTATGGGTTAAAGGAGGGTGGATCAAGAATATAGCCAGTTCATTCTAATCCACCAATAATGAATCTACCCAAGACCATTATTATTGCATATATTACAAAAAGTTTCTTAAACATTATTCCTTCTGCCCCAAATTGTTCAATAATAAAATTTGTCTTAAGTGCATGGTAGTAAATTTACTATGTGAGGTACTTTATAAAACACCACATACATAAATTACTTCTTAGTTTTTTGTTGCCACTGTTCAACCAATACAATCAATTATTTATTTCATATTCTCCCATTCTGATAGTAACCATAGTAAAGCTAAGATTCTCTTCAAAAGTGGTGGAGAGATTTGATATCAGAACAAAAACAAAGACATAAAGCCAATACATCTTAATCTCTTTCCTTATTTATCACTAACATAAAACAATCCAATCACCAACAATGCTCAGAACTTTACAAGCAATAAATTTCCCCAAACTAATTAGATTTCTAGGACAATAAACACTCTGATAACAAAATTAAATGGGAAAAAGATAATACATTTAGGTATATAAACTGATAATATTCATTTATGATGCATGGGTTATAGCATTTAAAATTGAACTAGTTTATATGGTATTGATATTAAACTACTACTAAGTATTATTAATCTCCATGAGATACATTTCCTTGTCAGCAATACCTATAATAATCAGTAAAAGATAAAAATATGTTCTATTGTCATCTAAAATTTTTTTAAGTTAAACCCCTTTAATTTTGAGGCTATTGTCTTTTTTTGTTGCTTTTTAGCAGTAGAGTAACTTATAAACCAGGAGTTGGCAGAAGGAAATCTAGTTACAAATATGTCCCTGTCCTCCTTATTAATGTTTCCAGGAATTTAACAAAGGTTAGCTTATCAAAGTATTTAAAACATGTCCCAAAGACAGCACATTTCAAATCATGTGTATTATTTTGGCCAATTTTCTTAATTTTCAACAACTTATATGGTAAAATGATCTAACTTGATACCACAATTTCTCTTTAAAACTATAACATATAAAGAATGTAAAAACAATTATTAGAACTTTAATTTTTATCTTTAAAATACCAAGCATTTAATTGTTTTCAGTTAAAAAAATAAAATTATTCCATATACCTGCTTTAATTACCATGTTTTTTATAGTTTATTTCTTCATATTAATATTAAACATGTATAAAAGGGGTCTAATGACACAAAATCTAAATCTATATTCTGATGACCAAGTTCTACATCTTTTTTAAATTGATAGGAAAAAATGAGACTTTTGTACCTATCACTCCCCCCCTGCCCCAATTTTCAGCAAGAGGTCTGACAGACATTTGTACCAGAGAACTTCAATTTCTATCAACAAATGGTAATCGTTTTTCCATGAAAAGTAATTTTGTCAATCTCATTAAGAAAGATAAAAACAATCTGCTGTAATATAGCCAGCTGTAGATATAGATGTAGTATATATAGAAAAGAAATCAAGCAGATAATAAAGAGCAGTTAAGTACCTTATAGTTTCTCAAAGAATGAACAAAGCAATACTTATAAAAGTCTCAATGTAATCAAAGAATAAATGTAACAACAACAAAAAAGCTTGGATAACAAAAGACAAGATTTTATTTGTGAAAAGATAGATTATAACAATAAAATTATGTATATATGGAATAAATATCAAGATCTGAGTTCTAGGTCTATATCAGCAATTATAGCTAAATGGGTGATAATGAGGCAAAGTATTTAATTTTTCTGTTCTGGGCCTCAAAATTTTCTCATATGACAGAGTTGCACTAGATAATTTCTCTTGTCCTTCCTAACTTAAAATTAATGGCTCAAGGATGATTTTTCTTTTTCTTAAGACTGATTTTTCTCATTAAAATGCTTAATTGCTGGATTTTAAAAAATAACAACTTTTGGTGCATTTAAATATTGATTTAGCCACTTGAAAGAAATACTTAGGAAGAAAAACTGTTATCACTCCCAATTAGGATTAATTTAAAGTGAAGATTTTTGATATTATTATGCAAATCATTCAGAAAATATGACTTGTATTACCAAAATTCTATTTATACATATATTTCAAATATTCATTTATGACAAACAGTAAGATATACTCACAGGGCAGTAGGTGCAATATCAAATGTCTCAACTAATTGTGCAAAATGGTTTGCTGAGCTAAAGTTATATTAGCATATAATTTGCATGTGACTATCTAGACTGTGAAGTCTATTCACAACTAATTTTCAAGTTAAAAATTCCATTACTACTACCCTGAAGACTGTCACTGATTTTCCTTTTCTGATGCTTTTCAACCTAACAACACTGAGTTTGATTCTCTTCACCATGAATACTTAACTAAGAGTAGCACATATAGAGGCTAGAAATGCAAGGAGAGAAATGATTAGCACAGACCTCTGAGTCATAGCTGGGAAAATACTAAGAACATGAGGATGCAAGAATTGCATGCATAGGCCAAATAATCCACTGTCAGATAGAGATACTATCTCTAGTTGAGAGAGGTTATGGTGTTTCATGAAAAATAATTCAGTTCAACATTACTCTGATTTCCTTTACTTACTAATGTAAATAAGTCATTAGATTATGTCTCCTACTACCCATCATTGTTTTTGTCATCTATCCAACTCTGATTCATTAATTATCTTTCAAACATGCTGGCCTTTCAGTTTCTTGATCACTTCTCTCCCAATTATCTTATCTCCATCCTACCTATGGTGCTCACTCTTTTTTTTGTTTGTTTGTTTTTAAGTAGGCTTCATGCCTAGAGCAGAGTCCAACACGGACGGGGCTTGAACTGTTATAACAGCTTTAGCGGAATGATGTTGGTGTAAGCCTAATTGGAGTGGTTTTAAGTGAAAATGTAAGGGAAGGAATTGGAGATACCAAATATTAGAAAACTCAAGGAGTTCTGGTGCAGAAAAATAGAATAGTAGCTGGCAGAGGAAGTGGGATGGGAGATGTTTTTATTTTCTTAAAAGGAAGAGATAAGAGTATGTTTATATATTATAGAATGCATCCAGTAGAAAGGAAAAGCTAATGGTACAGGAGAGAGATGGAAGAA